TCTCATGGCTTCGATCTCCGACTCGTAAAATGGCTCACGTGAGTTCGCATCCACTCGAAAACTGAAAGCACAATGTTAGATCCAGAAAGAAAAAAGGAGAAATTGTTCAATACAAATTGAAAGAGAAATTTGAACCTCTTGAGGAACTCCAAGAAGATGTTTTCGACCCTAACGGCTTTCTCGTCGACGAAGTACCCGCCACCGCCATAGCTGTCCATTTCTTGATCTTCAAATTTCTCAAAGAGGGATCAAAAAACAAGTGAGTTTCTGAGAAAGACAAAATAGATTTGGAGACGATTAGGGGTTTGGCGGGAAAAAGATATAGCCGCCGTTCTCGGGTTCCCGCCAAATAAATCGTGCACCACTCGCGTCATGTGGGCTTTTGGGCCGTATTAGGTCTTCAGTCCAATCCAGTCGTAAACGCAAAGCCCAAAAGCACTTTTAGGTTATGGCCTACGTTTGAAAAAATATATTTAAATTCTAGCCATTTCCGTAACAACTTTTGACATAGGTGGCCAAATTTCAAATATTTTTATCTGAAATTATAGAATTATTTGTAACGAAAAAAATGGAGGAGATACGTAAATGAGTAAATTTTTTAGTAATACCAAACATAAAAATTATATTAGCGCTCTATAGTTACAGTTTTGTTATCTGCGCTCCATAGCAAACAATGATTGCTATGCAATATTTGATTTGTATAAATCGTAGCGATTTGTATAAATGGGGGCGTCTGTGTCTATAAAAATTGTGTTAGTATATGTATATATTATTTGTTAAAGGATAGAGTGGCGAGCGAGATTTGGGGAAAGAGGAAAGATGTGAGCGAGAGGGGGCAAAGAGTGGAAAGAAGTGAATTATATATGTATATCGGTTAGATAATTATATATTTGTAACTACTATGTATATGTATCAAATTGATTGTGCTTGTATATCTGCATAATATACAGTTAATATATAACTGAATATCTCACAGATTTCTCGCTTCATACAAACACAAACTGTACATTATATAGCAAGAGTGCGAGAAAGGCAAAAAAATAACTGAACATGATAAGATTGTATTAGTATAATTATAAATGTATAGGACGAAAAGATATTATATTTGTATATACAATCTCTCTCACTTTATACAAACACAACACACAATTTATATATTTATATAAAAGTGAGAGAGGTGAGAGGAAAATAGAGAGTGGCGAGCAAGAGACGAGAACGACAATGTGTTTCCTACTAAATAAAATTAAATGATGCTATAATTACAAAATAAATTATTTTGAGTTAATAATTTGATATAAAGTAGAATTTCTACCCATTTTCTTAATTAATGGAAGCACTACAAATCTGCTTTTTCCTCTTCTTTTGCAGAGACAACTTACAAGAGACACGAAGAATCTCTGTGGATATGATCTGTGATAGAATTAATGCATACAAGGAAGACTATATATGCAGTGAGATATAGGTAGACCATAAAATTATGTTATCGAGGACTCTCGTTGGATTAATATTATTACTTTATCTTTGATTAAATTATTAAATTTGAATTTTGAATATGAAAAAACTTTTAATCCCCTCTTTTATCTTTAACCAAGTTATTGGATTCGGAATTCGGGTATGAATTTTTCTTTGACTCTCCTTCAATTACTTTGTTATTTCCATGGTTTGGAGCAAGAATCTGTTTATTTTAACAAATATAAATTAATCGAAACTTTAATATAAATTATCAATATCACAAATTATAAATAAGAAGAGAGATATGTTCAGATGGGTAAAACTGACAACTACTGAAAATAGATAGGCTTTAAAAATGATCCTGTAAAAAAAGCAGCGGTAAAATGGCAGAAGAGAGAAGAGTAACGAATTAGTCGATGCAAATCCACAATATAATAAATAAAACTAGCAGATTCAACCGTTTTCATTTTGGGGCTAAAATGTTTGCCTTTTTGTTTAATTAATTGTGTCTGATCACCCCCATCTCATGCATGCATGTTTCTAGTACTACTAGGACTGTTCCACTATAAACTTAACCCCTGTTCAAACGCGGTTTAAATATTTTAGTGATCTAAAATTAAAAATAATTTGAAAGGTTTAAAAATTTAATTATAAATATCTTGACCATAATTTTATCCATACAGTTTAAACGGATAGTTTAGTTGTCATAAGAATTAAGATGCTTTATTTTTGGTTTATACAGCCATGCCCTCAAAAGTTCTGATGAAGATTGAAGCACAGGCCAAGCTTTCATACTTTATTTGTAAATATTGGTTGAGAAATGCATCTTCTTTTTTATTTTATAGTTTCCTTTTTGAGAGTCAAAGGATGTGAGATATGACTAAGATTTTATGATATATTTTCTATCATATTAACATAAAAAGAATTGCAATTACAGTGTATTTCGTATAATTTTTGAATATTTAAAATTTATTTTATAATATCAAACGAAATAAATCTAATTTAAATAAATTAACTCTTAAAAAACATAATATTGCATCTTAAAAGAACAAAGGGAGTATATAATTTATTCGAATGGTTCACAAACAATGGATACCCTCTGATTGTTATTCTTAATTACTTGTCCATTTTGACAAATTAAGAAATACATTCTCAGTTTATTACTTTGATTAAAAGTGAAACTTTTTAAAAATCTTAAATTTTTAATTCATTAATTTCATAATTAATAGAGCTAAAATGATGATTTTACTATATCAATTATTGTTTTCTTAATATGTGTCAATTCAAAAATACACAAATATTATTGATTGAGGGAGAATATACGTACTCGAACATTGTCCCAATGGTAAGCCAAACGGTCGCGATTGCTTCGTTAAATGTGATTGATTAAATACGATATTCACGAAGGGTGTCAAATTGACAGGTTAAATTGAAATTAGAGATATTAAAATGGGTTTAAATATAAATCGGGTTGGGTCTTGATCCGCTCAAGTTTGCTTTGGACTTAAACACGGATTGAGTCATGACCCGCCCATTTTGACCCAATTAATCTCTATAATTTAACATATTGATATTTAACTTTTACAGTCACAATTTGAATTTCCGTCAAGATTTTTTATTTAAAAAGTAAGAAATTGATAGATAAATCGTAAGAGATGTTAAATAGAATAATTCATATCTTCAATATATGAACATATATATCTTAATAACATGTTTTAAACGGGTTGAAATTAAATATTAAATTAGGCTGAATTGATTCTCTTGAAATGGATTAGACTTGAATGAGTTGATATTGAACACAAATCAAATTATCTTGAGCCCAACCCTTAAAATTTGGACGGATTACCTATGTTTTGGGGTTTATTTTGACACCTCTAATATCCACTATTCCACACAAGTAATTAATTGTTTCTATTTAGTTATTGTCATTTTAGATTTTATGTTTCTTAAGAAACTAAGTAAATTTAAGACTGTAACATTAGTTAGTGTTTGTTGAGTTTTGAATTAATACTACTATAACATTATTTAGTATTTGTCGAGTTTTCAATTAATGAGCATGAATTTTTTTTTTTGATTAATTAATTTAACTAATAAACAACATCAATTACTTATTTTTTCTATGTTGGTCAAATGTATAGTTTCAAGGTTTGTAACTCTTCATAGTAAAATAGGAAAAAAATGTTATTTATGTATTAATTTTGTAAAATGATAAATATTAAGACACTTTCCATTTTTAATAAAGAGTAAAGAGGACATGTAAAAGAATTTATTTTTTTCATAGTAAAAATTTTCCAAAGAGAGTGTGGTTGCTGAGTGAAATACTTTTAAAATGAAGAAAAGGCATTTTAATTAAAAATATTAGGTATAAATTGATAATAATGTATGTTTATGGTGGGATGAAACTAAATGATATAAAATTAAAAGAGAATATATGAATATCATTTTTTGCTTAAAAAATTAGGGTTGTCAAATACACCATTGAATTAAATTTGAGAGAATTAAAATTAAATTAATAAATAAGCGTATCACTAATCTTAGCAATATAGCTAAAAGAGGATTACTTACGATAAATATAATATATTTAAAAAATATTTATCATTCATAGTAATAATTTTTTTTTTCATTTGATTACTTTTAATATACTTATAATATAATTTTAATACATATCACAAAGAATAATTTATTATTAAATACTTTTATAATATAATATGTCAATTTTTCACTAACTAAATATAATATATTTTTAAAAAAAATTATGATACATAATTCACATTAAATAAATATTACAAATTTAACACAGTATTATTATGTACCATAATAAATGACAACAAATAAAAAATATCATTCAAATCAATGATTATTTATTAAAAATATCATCCAAATAATTTTTTCAACTTAAAATGGGTTGATAACCCATCTCGTCCAATTCTGAACTAAGTTTTAAATTGAAGTTTTTTTTCCTTATAATTTAGTTGAGTACATGATATAAAAAAACTCAAAATATGACTATATAAAAAAAACATCATAAAAAATACATATTTCAAAATATATTTAGACAAGACTTCTCATCAGTCAATTTAAACTTTATATCAGTCCAAATCCAATATAGATTAAACTAAGCAAATCAAAATAACCTTAATTAATAAAATATGCCAATCATTAATCTGTCCAAATCAAAACTGTTAAACCAAATATAATTTTATGAATTGATTTTTTCACTTCTACTTTAATCATGAGAATGTAATTTAACTAAATTGTAGAAATTTGTTCAAAAGATTTTTTTCATATGACATTGATTATTACTTTAAATTTTAATTGTCATAATTTCCTTTTTTTAGAGTCAAACAATAAAAATTTTTATCAATATCTTTATAATATATTTTTTTATCATATTAATATGTAAAACATTGTAATCTATATTATTTTTTCCTATTGCTTATCAATATATATTTTTTTAAATGTTAAATTAATATAATTTAATTAAATTCTAAAAATTAATTATCAGCAATTAGTTGAAGTGATTTAATATAAAAAGACATCATACGTTTTCAATTGGCAATTCAGTGCTCGCTCTCTAAAAAGGCAAAGGTTTTCGTCTCATCTGTCACACAACACAACACACATTCTTCATCTTTTCTCCGCCGCTTCAAAAATTTTCATACAAAAACCAATTAGCTTTTCAGCAGAGAATTAATGGAGTTATCAGCTCAACAACCACCAGCAGCGCTTAACCAAAATCGACAGCAAGATCAACAGCAGGCCGCGTGGTTTATCAGAGCAGTACTGGCGAAGATCATCATGTATTGTAGCAACAACAAAGGTGGTACTGGCAGAGTAAGCACCAGATCCAAAATGCAAGCAGAAATGGGCAAGCGTTACTATATGATTTTACTGGTTATCAATTACATGTGTCTCTTCTTGGGTTCCGTTTCGTCTAGTCTGCTTTCGAAATTCTACTTCAATCACAAAGGTGGCAGTAGATGGGTTTCCACTTGGGTACAATGTGCTGGTTTTCCTCTTCTTCTATTCCCAATCTGCTTTTTCAGAATTTTCACCGACAGAAAATTGTTTTCTGGGTTCACCCCTAAAATCATCGCCCTCTCAATTCTCATCGGGTTGTTGTTGGGGGTTAACAATCTTCTTTTCTCTTGGGGGAATTCTTATCTTCCTGTTTCAACGAATTCTCTGGTTTTGTCTACTCAATTGGCCTTTACCCTCGTTACTTCCATGATTATCGTCAAGCAAAAAATCACATACCCCAATCTGAACTGTGTCGTCGTTCTCACCCTCAGTTCGGTCATATTAGCCCTGAGTTCAAGTCACGACAAACCGATTGGATTAACAAAGGCGAAGTACTTCAAAGGCTTTTTCTCAACCGTAGGTGCAGGATTGATGTTCGCTCTTTACCTCCCTGTCATGGAGAAGATATACCAAAGAGTTAACTGCTACGCCATGGTAGTGGAAATGCAGCTGGTCATGGAGATAGCGGCGACGGTGTTGGCCACGGTGGGTATGGCAGCGGACGGCGGTTTCTCTGAGATGAAGAGGGAGAGCTTGAAGGTGTTCGATTTAGGACCGAAAGCGTACTGGCTGACGGTGGGGTTTAATGTGGTGACGTGGCAGGTGTGTTTCATGGGTACGGCAGGGATGGTGTTTTTGACGACGTCGTTAACTGGAGGTGTATGCATGACGGCGCTGATGGGGATAAACGTGTTGGGTGGAGTATTAGTTTACGGTGATTATTTCAGTGGGCTTAAAGCTGTGTCGACTTCGCTATGTGTATGGGGATTTTGTTCATATATTTACGGCATTTATATGAACATGAAGGAAGAAGACGAGAATAGCATAGAGAAGAATGTGAAGAAGATGAACAGTGATCATATTATGGAACTTGCAGAGATTGTTGTTACGCATAACGCCTCAGGGTGATCACGTGACATCTCTCTCTATTTTGTTTTCGTTTTATTCGAATATATTAGGGGTATTCTGGAGCTGGTTTATAACTGGCAAGTGTTTGTATTCAAGTTAAGTAATGGAAAAGTAAGGAGTAATGATTTATGGTTTTGACCAAAAACAAAAAATGGAAATGCTTCTTCTTATCTATGTTTAATAATATTAAGTTAAATTAAATATATAAAATATATTTTTAATTTAATATAACCGATAATTATGTTTTATAATTTTAAATGTGTATAAGTTTGAGGGTATAAAATATGATCACATGAAGTCAGGTTAGAAAGTATACATATGTATTTAAATAGAGATAAGATAGATTATATGACCAAAATATAAAGACACAATAATTAAACAAGAGTCCTATTGCCCTATCCCCATCCATATTTTTGGTAATTTTGTAGATTTTTTTGACTTATTGGAGATTTAATTATCTTTTAACGTCTCAACAACTTAGAGTTGTGAAATATATAGTGTAAGCTAAAAGATGTACAAAAAATTTTAAAAATAAATTTGGGTGTAATTAAATCTTATTTTAGTTAAATATATTTTTGATATTTTAATCACAATTTAGAAGATACTTCTGCCTTTTAACTCCATTTAAATATGCACACTATTTCTGTGAGATTTTTTATACCACCACTCGTTTTAACTCGATTGAGCTAGTGTCAGGTGATATATTTGGGAAGACGATTTTGAAAAAAAATATTTGAAATATTTGGTTGTCCTTAAATTGATTAGATTTTAAGGAATTTGATATTTAAATATTTTAAAGTTTCTAAAAATTAGCTCAAATTAATTTTGTATTTTTGAAATTTTTTACACTCACAAAATTTGAACTTTTAAAAGTAAAATACATCTTGAAAAACGCAATTTTAAAAACTTAAATTTATAAATTTCAACGTCAAAATATATAACAAAATTAGAGGTTAAATTAGCTAATTTTTTGGGTTACCTAACAATGGAGAAAAATGTTAATACTCACTGTGCATATATATGATTTAAGCTCCCCTTCAATTTATTGATCTTATCACCAACATAAATGACTTCTCATCCACTTCCATGAGTTAAAGAAGGGGACAAAATGATAGATATCTTTAATTGTGAAAGTTAATTATAAGATAATTAAGTTTAATCTTTGTTACAATTAATTTTTTTTATTTTATTTTTTGTGAGGATATATAAATTCAAAGGCGTTTATTCATTATATTTTATTTTATCTGATATACTTTCTTTTAATTTATATATACTATTAAACTTTTTTTATAATAAATTACATTTTTATCTTAAAATAAATAATTTATTTTTTTATTTTTAATCAAATAACATCATATAAATAAATGGAAGAAAAGGAATATCACCAAATTAGGTGCGTTTTTTGTCACTCTTTTAGAGAGGTAAGACAAATTTTTTTTAATGGATTTGTCGTTTATTCGAGGGAAAAGGTCTCTCATTTTGCCAATATAAGATTAAGACATTTCCAGTACTTTTACATTATGTATGAAACGTTCAATGAAAACGTTATTTAATTAATCTGTGTTGTCCAATTAACGAGAAGAAGATTAATTTAAGGTATGGTGTATGGTGATATTATTGCATTTGTTTAATTAAATTTGTCTCCTCTTATGCACAAACCACCTTTTCATTCTCGACCTAATTAAATACTCTTTATTGCTCTATTGGCTAAACTTTTCTTCTCATAATAATTAAGGTTTAAAATGAGTGACAGCAAACAACAATGATGTACCTAGCGATACATTGATTAGATTATTTTATTCTTAATTAAAAAAAATTAAATATAAAAATTATTTTATTAAAAGTATTATCTAAAAAAAATATTATAATACGCTATTCGAATTTAATCGAAACTTAAACTTTCGAAGAGGGTGGGAACCCAAACAAATAAAAGTAACAATAGTGGTGGATGCACTTGTTTTCACCCAATTGTAAATTAAAGTACTCATGTCACAAACATGTAAAGTTTTAGAAATGAAAATGGAGTACTTAATATTTTTTATATGTGAAATTTAATACCATCGACTACAATATAATTATCTCATTGCTAAGGATTGTCTATTTAGTGAAAAAAAATTCACATGAAACTATATATATACACCCTTGGAAAATAAATCATAATGCACAGTACTAGAGGTAAAAAAAAACACGTAAAATTAGAATGACATTTTGGTTACTAACTTTAGGAAGCACTTCAATCTTTGATGATATATCATTTAGTTTAAGATACAAGGAAATGATGCCTTATGTTTATTACAACTTAAATAGAAAAAAATACTACTATAAAATTTTCGCTATTTTTTAAATTACTTTTATGTAAAAAAAGTCGTATAACTCAAATCAAATACTAAACACAAAGGATTAAATAAACAAATTTCACATATGCAAAGTTTTGGATTTGCCACTACTTAAAACATATATAATGAACATATTACATATATAACACCAATCGACCCAGGAAGACGTTAGGGAGGAACAAAAATGTTTGATTCGAGTCCATATGTCTTGAATTTAGAACTTAATTAGAGCAAGTTACTAATCAACCTAAAATATCTTTTAATTAGTTTTTTTTCCCTTTCAAAATTTAGCATATTTGATAGGTAACGTTATCTGATTTTGCTGAAAAAAACTAAGAAGTCCCAACCTTCAGAAATTTAATAAGGGTGCAACATATATAATCTTTAAATAAAATTTAAAATAAAAATAATGAAATAGCGGTTTAGCTGGATTTGAACTGGTCTCACGTGTGGTTCTTCTGCCTTGTACCAATGACACAAGAACACTCCTGTGCTCTTAATGGGTGCACTGTTAATTATATTTTAATTTCTGTCAATTTCTCAAAATATATATATAGTGGCGGAGTCACTACAAGTGAAGGGGTGTCAACCGACACCCTTCGTCGGAAAAATATGTTGTGTAGTTAGAATAAAATATTTTTAATGTATATCTATATTACGTACTGACACTTGTTGGCTTCTACACGAATTTATTTTTTTATATTTTGACACTCCTTAAATTAAATTCTAGCTTCTCCGTTGTTAATGTATATGTAATTTTTTTCTAAGTTTATATGTGCAACCGAAGGTAATCAATCTCCCTCTGGTAGCAGCCAGTCACAGTTTTTGCATGAGCTTGTTACGTACTGTGCCTCAAAAGCATATGGTAGAAAAACAGTATGCTATTTTCCGCAGAAGATTAATTATTTTCTACAGTTTATTCTTTAACCTTATCTAAAATGCGCAAGAACTTGATATCTACTGCATGCATAATATGATAGAATTGCAATGTTTTCCACTTGCGCAAAGATATTTTATTTTAGAAGCATTTTAATCTTAGTGTATTTATTTTAATATATGGAATTTGATTGCTAAACGATACATAAATTATTATGCTCTCATACGTCACTTCATCTTTGTAAGTATTTTAATTATCTTTTGCGCCTTATTGCTAGATGAATATTGGGTTTAGTAATAAACAAATGGTAGAGTGGAAATGACGTATCTCATGACATAGTTATAATATTTCTGTTTAATTAGTGATCGTGTGATGAGTTGAGTCTACATTAACAATGTCCAAAAGTAGTTAATTTAGGGGGAAGAAAAGGAGGAGGAGGAGGAGGAGAGAATTATGCGATTCGCCTTTACAATCAATTTTGTTGCTATGTCAAGCGTGAAAAGGGAAAAAATGGAAGAAAGAGATGTTCGGGTTATATGGGTAATTTGGAGATTGTATAAAAATATTAAGGGCAAAAAAATAAAAAATGTTGTCAACTTCAAACAGCTTATAAGCTAAAATAAAATACCTCTGCCCTAACTTTTAACTTTTAGCTTAAAATAAATTTTTTTAACTTAAAATAAGTTATTTTGAGTATTGTCAAACAATTAAATAAGTCAAAAATCAATTTTTAAGTCAGTTTAACCAGCTTTTAAGCTGAGCCAAATAGGCTGTAAGTGTTATATGTATCGTGTAAATTTTTAGTGAGCTTCAAACTTTACCTTTTCTAAATTATATTAGTATCTCTCGTTGGTACATAGTTATGATTGCAATTTATCTTTTTGTATGACCTTGGATAAACCAATTATAAGTCCATTTTATTATTATTTTATTATTATAGTCTTAGAACACGCACGATTCATTCATTCTATATTGTGTCACCGGATTTTGAGTTTCATATTATCTTGTTTACACCCCAAATACTACAAAAAGAGTTGAGTTTTAGTAATCCCACATTCATTGATAAAACGTCAATAGTCCAATACAATTTTTAAGGTTAGGTTCATTTCTAATTCAATTTCCTTATGAAGGTACAAGTATGAAGAGAATATGTTCCAATGTTCAAATTTTCTGGAATATAAGTATATATTTATATGAAGGGTTAGGGAGTGTGTATTACAGCAAAGTTTTTGATGACATGAGATACGTAGAATTAAACAAGACTCGGCGGTGACCGCTAGTTAAAAGGCCATGCACGCTTATTTGCTATATGCCCAAATGTGTGGCTGGGTTATCGAACCCATCACTGTTACTGCCTAATGGATTCCCTTGTTTGATGCGACGCTTTGTCTTTGACAAAAACACGTACAATCATTTTAATTCAAATCATGTATTATTATTTTTTTAAAACAAAAAGTATAAATTCATAATTTATAAACTTAAATTTCTCTTGTCTTGTAGTTGCAGCATATAGGGGTCTTGCAAGGAACTGATGAATTTATTGAAGATTGCATGGTACAATGAAGTACATAAATATCAAGCAGGGCCAAGTTTTGTGAAAGAAAGGTATTGTACCTCGAACTATTTTTAACCTTTGATTGGTCTTATTTTTATTCGTAGCGCATCTTTGCATAGGTCCATCCTCAAAAATTTCACCTGTACTTTTATTCGATTCCATATATGTCACGTTACGCGTACAATTTACTTTTGTAGCACACATCCCCATGGGCTTTAAAAGAAAATTTATGAGTGGGCTGAAAATGGAGATTGTCTCATTTCGCTAGCTTGGCCCAGTTCACGTTGTGCAGGAAGTCGGGTTTGGCCCATTGTGCAGAATCAGTGAGGTAGCGCCATGTTCAGTGGAGTGTCTAAAAATCAAACGTTATTGGATTGTTACTGTTGGATCATTAGATTTTGGGCAACTTTCACATATAGCAAATAAATTTTTTTATATTTGTATGCTATATAATTCGCTGGCCTATTTCGCTGCAATTGTATAATTCGCTATTTCACTGCGATTGTATGATGCACAATTGTATAATTCGCTGCCTATTTCGCTGCAATTTTTTTATAAAATTTGCTTTGCATACAGTTGAATCGAATTAAAATGTATGTATATTGCATAATTATAAGTGTATAGCAAGAATATATATGTTTTTTCTCTCGCTTTATACAAAAACGGAAACACAATATATACACTTCTGTTGTATAAAGCTAGAGAAAATTGTATTTCACTGCAATTGCATAATTCGCAATTGTGTAATTCGTTGGCCTTTTCCTCTGCAATATCTGAAGTGAACTGTTTGTAAATTGTATAATTAAGTGTATAACACGAAGATATATATTTTTGCATGTGTATATACAATTTTCTCTCGCTTTATACAAAACAAAAACAAAATTTATACACTTTTGTGTATAAAGCGAGAGAGGCGAGCGAGAATGGAGAGTGGCGAGCGAGATTTTTGGGAGAGAGACGCTTGACAAACTTTAACTAACGTTTGCTATGGAGCACAATTAAATCAAACCCTAACTACTCCATTTATTTTAGGTTATTAGTTTGCTATTATATATAATTTTCCCATAAAAAATTATTGGGTTATTGATTTGATTGTGATTTTTAATATTGGATAAATCAATAATTCAGGTTTGAATGTATGATCACGTCAAATTGTTTTAATAATTTCTCATTCCATTATAATCTTGCAAATAAAATGTTCATTCAAATGGTGAAATTAAATAATCATGGAGGAAGTTGTTAATCAAAACAAAAAGTAAAACCACCTCTCCAGGCGTTTTCAGACTCTTCTCTTTCGTTTTTCATCTTTAAACCTTCTAAACTTCTATGTTCTATTTCCAATCACATAGGATCGTTAGTATCCTTTATTAAAATTCACCCAAAAACACGAATCAAATCAATAAGAGACTTCAATAATACAATCATTAAGAACTCAATAAATTTTTAACAATATTTTTTATGAAGTCACCTTCTTAACATTCAAACGACTTAATTAATTGAAACAAAATTAACACATGGCTGAAATATATCCTAAATATAACGTGTTGTATAAGATCCCAAGAGGCTCTACACAAGCCACATGACATACATACGGACAACTCAATATAAATAAACTCAATATAATAAAGTCTCGTATCATAAAAATGGAAAGTGTAATCGTATTCATGACAAGCCATTGTATTCATATTAAGTCAACTCTTATAGTTTTTAAAAGTTCATGTCATTTAAACATTAATCATCTTCTCCAAATTTTCAGAAAGTTATCAAAGTTTTTTGTTTTTATCAGAGGAGTTGTAATTGAGATGGTGTCATTGGAAGTGGTAAGTTGAAATGGTTCGATTTTCAACCCTAGCGAACAGTTTCACTTGGCGGCAAAATGGAATTCATCCGAAACTCAAAATTTCTCACATTCCCAATTACTTCAATGTTACTGAGCTATGGGATGCTTCAATCTTCCAAAGACTTAAGGAACCAAAACCTATTGAACAAGTGCATGCCCAAATTGTTATTTCTGGTCTTTCTCAGGATACCCGTCTTTGTAACAGATTGATGAATTCATATGCATCATGTCGACTTATAACACAAACCCACAAAATATTTTCTGTAATAGAGCACAAAAACTTGGTTTCTTGGACCATATTGATAAATGGGTTTGCAAAGAATGGCCTTTTTCTTGAAGCTATTGAGTTATTTGGTAAGATGGTTAATTGTGGGTTAATGCCTAATGCAATCACAGTTTCAAGTATTTTACCTGCTATTGGAAAATTAAGGTTGAACCTGATAGGGAAATCACTTCATTGTTATTGGGTTAAGCAAGAGTATCAATGTAATGTGTTTGTTCAAAGTGCATTAGTTCATATGTATTCGAAACTAGGGTATCCCATTGCTGCCCGATACGTGTTTGATAGTATGCCTGAGAGGAATGTTGTCTCGTGGAACGCAATTATTTTTGCTTATTCCAATAATGGTATGGTTGAGGAAGCAATTTGGCTCTTCAATTTAATGAGAAGGAGCTTGTTAATGGATACGTTTACGATAATGAGTTTAGTTTCTGCTACTTTTGGCGTTGGGGATTTACAAATAGTTACTCAAATACATGGGTTAGTAGTTAAATCTGGTCATGATAACAACCAACGTGTTGAAACTGGTCTAATAGAGAAGTATATTGGTGTAAACTTTGTTGATGATGCTTACTGTATATTCTGTGAGATGCCTGTAAAAGATGTAGTTGCTTGGACATTGATGTTAACGGGGTTTGTGAATAGTGGAAACTGGAGTATGGTGGTGGAACATTTCAATCAGATGATGGGAACTGATGAGGTGGAGCTTGATTCGGTGGCACTGATAGGTATCCTATCAGGATGCAGCAGTTCAGGAGCTTTGCAACAAGGCAGGATGGTACATGCATTGGTGATAAAAAATGGTTTTGAAGGTGATACTTTTTTGGGATCATCTATTATAGACATGTATGCAAATTGTGCTGAGTTAGGTGATGCCAGAAGATTTTTTGAAGGGATGGCTACGAAAGATGCTGCATGCTGGAATGCACTGATTGCTGGTAATGGGATGCTTGGGTACGGTAATGATGCAATAGACCTTTTCCTGAAAATGAAGGATCTAGGTTTAGATCCAAATGATTCAACCTTGGTTTCTGTCTTGAGTGCTTGTAGTCATTCTGGGTTGGTTGATCAAGGATTGTATATTTTTGATAATATGGTAGCAAGATGGAACCTTTATCCTAATCAAAAGCACTATGCATGTGTTGTTGACCTTCTTGGACGTGCAGGGAGATTAAATGATGCTTACTCAGTAATTACGAGCATGCATTTGCAACCAGGTGTGGATGTTTATGGTGCTTTGCTTGGTGCTTGTAAAGCTCATGGGAATATTGAGCTAGGTGTTGAGGTATCACAGAGGCTTTTTGAGCTGAAGCCACATGATGCAGGATATTATATACTTCTCTCCAATATTTATGCTTTATCTGGAAATTTGGAGGGTGTAAAGTCTACCAGATTATTGTTCAAATCAAAAACTTTGGAGAAGGATCCAGGCATGAGCTCAATTGAGATAAATGGAGCTGTTTACACATTTATGGCGAATGAAAAGGATCATCCCCTATATCTTGAAATTTCTAGGTTTCTGAAGGACTTAATCTTTAGAATACAAGAAGAAGGATATGTGCCTGATTTCAAGTCTGTTTATCAGGATGTGGCAGAGGATCTGAAAAAGGATATTCTTTATCACCATAGTGAGAAGTTGGCCATTGCATTTGGATTGATGAGAACAAAACCAGGAACAATCATACGGGTGACAAAAAATCTCCGAGCATGCAATGATTGCCACTCTTCGTGTAAATACATCTCCAAAGTTTTTGGAAGAACGCTTGTCATCAAGGACAAAAACCGGTTTCATGTTTTCCATGGTGGGAACTGCTCATGTGGGGACTATTGGTGACAATGTACTCTGATTAATCAACATTGACTTATCCCACGAAACCACCTCATCTACAAAATCTCTGAGACTAATTTATACTACTTAGTTTTGATGTTTACATCCAAGCCAAATGGTGTAGCATTTCAAATGGACCATGAACACCCATCAGCACCAACTTATTGTCAAATGATTCTGACCAGGTAGCAAACTCCTCTTTCAGAACTCTCTGAGATCCACTAGATCTTTTCCTCTATCTGCTTTTATGGGACATCAGTCGATTGGTTACATATTTTAAGATATTAGTTTAACCAATGTGTGATAGTGGAAAAGTGATTTTGAAGGAACGAACCTCACATAAGTAATTGTCGTGTAAGTTGGGAAGGACGAAAGTAGTGTAATAGGCCACATAAGATATATTCAGATCTATGATTTAATGATTTCTTAAATACTATCCCCAATAATGACGTTGGTATCATCAACAGCCAACTAATGGTTATGCACTATTCATGTTGGATTCAGGTTAAAGCCGAAGAATAGCAGACCTAGCAAATCCCTGATGCAAAGGCCAGACACCAGTGTCAATCCAAAAGTGGCTGCCATGCGTCTCAACATAAACTGGGATTTCGCAGAAGAGTTTGAGGAGGCCGATGAGATCGATGACCCTGAAGTTCCTGCAGCTGTGGTTAGTGGATGAGAGAACGCTAAGAATCTGTGCGTTTATATTTGGCAGTCTGTATCTAGTATCAGATAAGTATCATTTAGTCTGTGCAATCTAGTGTAGCCTTAACAGCACCAATATTAACTTTATTTTTGGGAACATCGATAGAAGAGTTAATAAATCCACTTTTTCTTTGGTACATATTAGTTGATTAAGTGATAATCAAATTAGAATCGAGCTAGTAGAGAAAAATTTTCAACTCCGAAATTACTTGTGAATTCTTGCTCCCAGAATTTTATTTTTTTCTTGTTAATAAGTTCAAAACCTTCTGGAGCTGATTCTGACGAGGGGCTTTTTCACGCAGGGATATGGCTCTGTACTTGGTCTATCTGCATTTTCCATCCTAATTGGCATATCTGTTGTGTTGATTGTGTTAGTGAAGGTTATTCCATTTTATATCTGTAAGTTGTCTGCGTACATCCATTGCAAATAAAGCCTATTTCTCGAATAATAGTGAGTTTGATATTATACTATGAATCTAATTTTGAACTTTCTGATGCTCATGGGTAGGATTTCTTCCCGTCTACTAAATCTTGATGGACACATTTACATGGTACCAGTGCAAGTGAAAGGTAGCAGGTACTCAGTGAACTAGTTGAGGTTCGCGATAGCACCAGACACCATCACTATATATTTTTAAAAAATAAATGATGCTACTGGAATGAAGCAACTGTATTTCATTTTGCATGTTCTCAAGGAATGGGTTCTTGAATGGGTTAAATCTCTTTCATGTGCAGTGTTGTAGCATTGGTGTCTTTTGTTTTGAGTTTTATATGCCTACATTCTTCTATTGTCCATGCTTTGGTTGGTTATATACTTCTAAGCAACCGTGTGGCTGCACGTTCACTACATTATTTATCTTGTTTGAGCCTTTCAAGTCCCAACACACGAGTGAAGTTGACTTAATTAGGGCAAATCTTATGTCAAAATATCAGCTCAATTGAATTATTAAATCTCCCCTTCAATCCACATTTTGTTTTTTCTCTTCACCTAAAGATTTATAAAACTATCAACTTTCCAGCTCACTAGTTAAGGAGACTCTCTTGTGTGTCACCCATCAGACGACTTTGTGACTTGTTATTAAAAGAAAAAAATTAGAATTTTTTTTATTTGTTACTAAAGGTAGACGTTGGTGTCTTTTACACTGAATTAGTCTTCCAGGTCATCTATACTTTTTTTGGTTAGTATCAATATTTATTGATCTTGCTAATAAACATTCATTCTCAAAACTCAAACCTAAGATATCTGATTAAGAGTAAAGAAATCTCAACCATCTCCTGCGCTTCTAATTGGTTCTACAGAATTGCTAAAACTAAATCTGGTAGTGCATCCCATGTCATAGAAATTATCGTACTGAGTGAAGAGTGAGAGACAGAGAACGTGGGAATCATAACTTTTAAGGTTTGAAAGACATGGCATCCACATTCTAACTATACCCCATTTGCAGCATTTCTCCTATAAATACCTCATTCATGTAACTTATTGTTCACCTCTCTTCAGTTTTCATTAGTTACTTTCAGCACAAATATATGCCTGCCTTTATGGATCCTCAAGAATCTGATGACGAAACTTTCATTGAAGTAACTGATCCCTTTATGAACAAGAGCCCAGGCAGTGAGAAACAGATTTCAGTGGATCCAATCTCCTTGAAAGAACCAAATGAACTTACAATCCCCTTTTCAAAACCCAAACCTCTCAACATTACTAAGAAAATATCCAGCTTCAGCTTGCCCAATTCAACAACCTCGTCTCCTGATTTTTCGAAGAAAAAACATATACTACACTCTCCTCTGTCATCAACTAATCATTTGGCTCGTCAACACTCCGTGGCTCTAACAAACCTTGAACGATTGAGAGAAATCCAATTACGGAAGAGCAAGTCGTGTGGTGAAGGCAGAGCTAGTGCCCCACCTGAAGAATTCGATATTTGGTTCACTCCTAATAGTACCATTCAACAAGTAGCAGACAACAACAATAAGTACTTGATCAATAACAACAGCTTTTCCCCTGAATCAGAAATTAGCAACAGAAATGAAGAATTTTATGAGAAAAAAACGTTGGAGGGACGAAATCAGGACGAGCAAAAGTTTAAATGCGGAGCATTGTGTTTGTTCATTCCAGGATTTGGGAAGGGAATCAAACATGTAAAATCAGGGAGAAGGCAAGTAAGCGGTGTATCTTCATCGTCCGATATAGGACCACATGTTGTTTCAAGGACAGTTTCATTGGAGAAATTCGAATGTGGGTCGTGGACATCATCGGCAGCTATAATCAACGACGTTGGAGATGCAGCCTCCAACAACATGTTTTTCGATCTGCCATTGGAGCTCATCCGATGCAGTAATGCGAACGACGACACGTTTTCCCCTGTTACGACTGGGTTTGTTTTCGATAAAGAAGTCAAAGGTGTCCTCAAAAATACAACTTCTTCGAGGAAATCACATGAATCGACCCGACATGTTCGGTTTTCTACGTCGTCCCCGACATCGTACCCGCCATCACCTACGTCCTGCATAACACCACGAATGCTTACTTCTAGAGAAGATTTCACTACATTTCTAGAAGCTCAGAGTGCATGATATTGTCGGAGTGATAGATTTTTACAAGAGGATTCATCATCTGCTATATATCGAGATATAAAATTAAGTTTGTAAATATACTTGTGTGATTTGGGGCGAAGAAGGTTCAAATATTTTTATTTTTTTTGTAAAACCTTTGTTCATGTCATGTGGATCTTCATATATATTAGATTGGACGAGAACTCACGAGTGATACCAAACTGTAACTTATTGTATATGAGTCATTTGTTTTCAAAGTAAAACTATGTATCAATTTAATTTGTAACTAATTGTGACCTTGTTTAACTAATGCACCCTAAGTATTTAACGGTGTACTAATTGATAAGTGAGACTTGCTCAAGTGGTTGAACATATTCATCATCAACAACAGATAGATTGAGACTAATAGTCCTTATGTACTATTATACACTTAATCAGGTACAAGATTAAATCCGGTTAACCAAAAGACCTAATAATTAAGGGTGATTTGCAAAAAAAAAATGATATTTCCACCGTTAATATTTAAATTTTGATTCGATTTAAATAAGTTTAGCAAATATCTTGTGGATCAGAATAAGTTTGATTGCAACAAGTTTTAGTAAATAACTATAGTCCATGATACTGTAAATTGTATCGTAATCTTTGAAAAGATTGTTCACGGATTACCAAAACATGCATACAAATGTGAGTAACTATGTTACATTATATCAAAATTCACCCAAAATTGTGCGTGCAAATTTTTTTACTCAATTCCTTTTTAGTTGTCATGCTATATTTTTTTAAAATTAATTTAACTAATTTTTAAAACTAAATTATATTATATTAATTCGATATTTAAAATAAAATATTAAATATTAAAAAATCTAATAAGTTGCAACTTTTATATTAAAGCACTTCTTTAAATAGTAAATAATTTATATCATAGAACTCTATAAAAAATTATGACAACTAAAAGAAAGGAAAAGAGTAGTTTCGAGGGTACTTGCTTTAGTAGACATTGGGCTCCAGCAGCAGTTAAGCCCAATAGATTAAAGTTCACTGACACATCTACTTTCCTAAAATGTCAATTTACAAAGAAAAATACTAATTATTATTATTTTAAACCTTTTTTTGGTTAAAAAAAAAGTTCATTTGTGGAATCGCAGATTTCACTTGGTGACAGTATTTTACCGATAATCGAAACTATATAAATACATGCCGAGATATCTGACAGAATTTGGTGATTATAGTATGTGAAATAAGTACTGCTTTGTTCTAAACTAATAACCGCAGATAAATAAATATATTTTACTGCCTCAATCATTAATTGTGGGCAAATCTAAGAGTCAACTTTGCCGGAATTGAGAAATCACTTTCACTATGAATTCTTGTCGACATGAACCCGTGTGCTAAAATTACACATCGGTCACAATTTTTATAATCTTCAAACAAAAATAAAACTTCCTTTAGTTCATATTAATTAAATTTTGTTAAACTATCACTTTTCATTATTAATTTTTTTGTTGACGTGAATCTTTTAGGAGTACTATTTTACTTTTAATTAAAATGAAGGAAGTAATAAGTATAAATTGAAACAAATTAGAATGTACTTAACTCTTTTTAGGCTAAATTTTTTTCATTAAAATGGAGTAGTACTCTATGTTTATGGTCCCATTGTCTTACCAACCCCAAAGAAAACTCTTATTCCAAAAATCACTTAAGCTCCGCTTTAATTGAATTCACAGTTGTATTAAACTCCATTGGTCCCCTCTTTCGAGCTGATATTATATCCTCCATACAACACACTTCATCACCATGCTGTTTTGGGCCCACTCAGTGAGTGCCGTAGTCATCAATCGGACACACTTTATTGAAAAATTATATTGTGTTTAGTTATTTCGAATTGCTTGTTTATTTTGATAAATCAAGAAAGAAGTATTTTTTTTATCTATTATATTGACTAGTTACTTTTAAAAAGTATAGAACTTTTCATTCACTTCATCATTAACAGGAATAAAATGGTAAACTCGTTATGTTATTCATTGTTTTCTTAATAGGTGTGTCAATTCAAAAGTGGACAAATAATTATGGACAGAAGAAATATAATATATATAGGTCAAAACTTTGAATATACTTTAGGAAATTTTCTAACATTGTCATTGTTCCACTCCATACATATAATTTCTTTTGGTAGAAAGTGATTTAAGTAAATTTCAATCCAAGGGGTTTTTTCCATTTCATTCTTAGCTCATCAAATTTGCAATTTCTACAGTATATTTTGTTTCTTTTTCTCTTGTTGAATATTAAGAATGAAAACCAAATACAATGAATTAACATCAAATAAAGGCAAAACAACAATTGGAAGACAGAAATGGGGGGCCCAAAAGAGAATTAACATTCTACCAAATTATTGTGTATGGAGCATAGGTTATTATATTATGAAACAAAGAAATAGCTGTACACATGAAAGGTACTCCAATTAACACACATCCTCATCATGCCCTGTGCGGTTTTCTTTTAACGTATCTAAGTTCAGTCTTAATCATACATTATCATATTTCATTTTTGAGACCGTTGGTTTTACACTAGTAGCCAAAAAATTGACATATGCATGCCATAACACCTATCAAAAATACTCATATGATTGAGTACACTCGAAGGCTTTCAGTATTTTTTTTTTCTCAATAATTGTTATTATGGGTTCATCAAAGATTTAAGCAAAGTCGGTATGAAGGAAAAAAGAAAAAAAAAACTGCTTAAATTGGGGTGTAAGTAACTTTCTTGCCTGCCAATCCAAGAAAATGCTAATGTATAGTATATAAACTGTTATTTCATTTAATTTCATAATGACAATTATAATTTTCACATAAATATGTATAACTAGAGATTTAAATTTGTATAGAATCAAATAAATATACACACTTACCTGTCATCCACATGAAATGTTTGACTTAAACTAAAGGTACTATTTTGATTGTTCTAGAGGAAATACCAACCCTTTTGGCCTTGGACAATGAAAGAAAAAGCAAAAGCATTCCCCATAACTAAGCATCAATCCATTAATCATGATCATTAACTTATTCAAATCCAATATTTTAACTGGAATGCTTGGACACTTGTTAATGTTCTAAGTAATAAGCAATGTTCAAATGAACGATAGCTTAACTCAACTCCAAAAACTAACTCATGAGGAGGCAATTGTTCATGTCTATGTAAACAGTACTTTTACCCACTTTAACACTCTCCTTCACGCTCAAGCTCAACAAGAGTGTGACAGGAATGGATCTGACTTCGATACCATGTAAGGATATAAATACCTAATCCAAAATCAGGCCATCAATCCATTCTCTAACTAGTGTGAGACTTTTACCTACTCTAACCGAAAGAATGAATAAGCGAGTTAAGGTCCCTCTGAAAAAGCACCAAACGAAGATAATCATTTTTCTAATATGATACGGTTATATTTTTTCTACATGCCAGTTGTGTGTTGATAAGAGGTGGGAGGCCCCCCTTGACACCGACAATCATAATCAAATCCAGCCAACTTTTTGGCAAAATAAAGCGAATTAAATAGTGTTATAAACAAAGACAACAGTACAAAACACCCTGTAATCCTACAAATATATAAATAAACGAATCATATACTAATATGCTTGTCACTGCTGTTTCTATACCACCCATGCTTCTATTCCAAAAAGTATAAGAAAAATTTTATCATACAGAAATGAACAAGAGAAGAAGAATATATATAGCTCTAACCAAAAGAAACTTAAAAGTAATAACACATGTTGAAAACAAAGTACAAGACAATGTTGACCTCATTGCCGCGTTCTTTGTAATGTAGTGCCAATCATCTTAAGTTCGAATCTCTTAACAGTTGCAGCAACATCTCTCATTGTAGTGTCAACATTATAAGGGATACCGTCAACGGTGATGGCTGTGGTGTTGACCAGCTGCCGGCATGGTTCACGGTGCTCCGCGATGGTCCCGTGATAGTGGAAGTATTTGATACGTCCTTCTGTCTTGTGTGTTGTCTTGCCTACTGTATTCTGAGACATATGCACACCGTTGGCGATCACATTGCGAGGTTGTACTGCATATTTTCGATCCCTCCTAATACCTGTCTTCACGTCCTTGTACACTAGCTTCTCAAACCCCCATTTTCTGTAGCCAAATTAGCATTGAATCATCAGTTTTAAGTGTTTGAACACATAACTTCATCCAAAATATATTAAGCAAAGACGATTTTTAGTTGAAAACGACTCGTAAAAACCCACAAATCGTTTTCTTTTATCCAGTCTTCTGGTCTATCAAAATCAAGCATACCATATACGAATAGTGGATTCAATTATTCAAAGATACAATTTTTACTCACTAAAAGAACGCGCAGTTACAACTAGGTAATGACAACTAAATATTAAAAAACACAACTTTAATTGGTGATGAGCATTAAGTATCTAAATTTTTTCAGGACAGCTAATTTGGTCGAGGTTCCATTCCAAACACCATGGAAAAAACATTTGATCCAGCTAATACAGGTCTCATTAAGGTAATTAGAATATTGACAAATTAAGACAGCTAAGCTTCCACTAGAGCAAATACAAAATAAGGCATTAATCAAATTTTTAAGCCAAGATCACAAGACTAATCACCAAACTAAAGTAGCAATCAAGAATTCCTTTACTCGTGAACAGTCTAATAACCCATCAAAGCATCTCAATTATCTACCACTACAAGACATCAACAAATCAACAAAATATTACCAGAATATCTAACTATATGCTCTGTAACAGAGAAAGACCTCATGTTTAGAGGAACAACAATCAACATTAATATATTGTCTTGATACTAAACAAATTTATCCAAATTGGGATGGTTGATTTAGTTTAAGTAGCAAAATTCTTTATTTCAATTAAAAATACCAACACGGGTCAATCGAAATTCAGCATCTTGAATGTTTGGTGAGAAACATGTTGACCAATAAATGCATAAGTAAATGCCAAATTGAACTAAACTAAGAAATTCACAAGGTGAATGGGTGT